TCCCGCCCTCCCTCCCTCCCTCCCGGCCTATGCCGTCCTGGCATGGTGCTGCAGCTCCGGAGGCTGAACCTTGGAATGGATCGACCACTTGTCCCGCTTGACGTCCATGGTGATCAGAGGGGCCCAGTGCAGCCGCGCCGCGTCCACGACGGGAGGTTTCACCGGGTACTTTCGGGCCAGTTCCTCGACCAAGGGTAACGGCGCGTAGATCAAATACTGACCCGAGACGTAACGGAGGAGGCCCAGGAAGGTGCAGGTGGAGACCACGTCCTCGGTCACGAAGGAGGTCATCTTGGCCAGGTCCATGATGGAGAGAGGGGGAAGGCGCACTTCTTCCACGGGGGTCCCACTCGCTTGCGCTGCCTCCGCGTACATCCTCTTCAACAAGGCCAACAATTGCGACGCCCAATAGGAACGGTAACTGACCAGGCCAAGGTCAGAGAGCGGCTTTTCCGGTGACCCCAACTTTTCCTCTTTCTTGCTTAATTCGTACGAGAAATTGATGAGGAAGCGCCCGTAGCCTTTGCGCTGGTAGGAGGGGAAGGTCAATATACAGGCCAAATTGAAGCCCGCGTCCGAATATTTTTCCTTGGAGAAATAACCGACGGGGTGAAAGCCCCGCCCGTCGTGCTCGCAGAGGACGTAGAAGAGGAAGGGATCCACGTCGTAGAACAAAGTCTTGTGGTCAAGAAAGAGCTTGGCAAAGTAGCAAAGGTTCTGGCAATACAGCTTCTGCTCCCCCCCATCCACCTCGAAAATGCTGAGCTTCGCGTCTCGGTAGACCTCGTCTCCGGGGGGATGTCGGTCCTTTGGGTCCATTTTGCTCAGCCAACGGTGCAGCTCGGACTTATGCTTGAAAAAACGCATCGAAGCCTCGCAAAAATACAGCACGTCCAAGGCGGGGCCCTCCGAGAAGAGCTCCTTGGGAAAGGGAGAATAGTACCAGGTCTCCATCCGGTACTTGCCCAGCTCTACGAACTTGACGTTCTTGACCTTGGTCACCTCCTCGTGCTCTTTCAACTGCTCCTCATCCAGGCCCTCGTGCTCGTCATGCTCTAAATGGGCCGCCAAGGGCACTTCGTCCTCCTCCTGCCCGCGTTGTTTCTGGCGCCGGGTCCGGATGCCTGCTTCTTCGCTCGCTTCGCACAGCTTCTCTGCCTGTTCGGCGAGCTCCTGCGGGCGAAAAGGCCAGACAAGGGGAGGAAGGTGGTGATTAATAGTGGCAAGGGGGGGCACTAGAGCAAGACAGGAAGCCATCGCGGGATAATGTACGAGCTCCCGTCGCCGGGGAGGGAGAGACTGGGCACGCAGCTGGCAAAGGAATGGAATGGGATAGCTGACTATCCTCTCCTACTCATGCGAGCCCCCTCAACGAGACCCCATGTCCGGAGAACCCCTACCTTTTCCCGCTCTAATTGCTCCTTCATCGCCTTGTGCTCCGCGCCTGCCACAGAAGGCGGTTTGAGGATGGCAGGGATATTAACCCACTCATCCATGCGGCGATTGAAGTCGTGGTAGTGGACATAGTAACTCCATTCCCCGGTTTTTTCATTCTGAGCCCGTTCGATCACATCACAAAATCGGTCAGTTCCGTCCCCCGCCCATTTGACCATGATGATGGAGCCACGCTTGAATGGATGATCGTCTTCATGTTTATTAGGATCATCGTCGTCCGCATGCTTGCCGTCGTTGGACTTGCGGGGTTGCTGTTGCTTCGTTTGTTCCCGTTTTTGCTGTTGGGGCAACTGAATGTCCCCCCCTACCGAGTTCTGTCTTTTCGTGCCGGCAGAATGCTTTCGTTTCTTGTCCATGTGCCCCACCGTCATAAATTCCCTTCGACAGGTGTATCCTGATGATGAAGGTAAAGTCGTGGAGGTCGTGAAGCTGTAAGTAAGAGCATCGCGTTTTTGTCAGTGCACGATGATGGAAAGAAGTGCCCTGCAGCAACCGGCGACGCCAAAGCGGAAAACGTTAAAGAAGGACAAGCTCGAATCACACCACGGTCGCGGCGAAGGAGAGGTGCTGCACGAACCATCATTGCGACAACATGTTTCGATGATCGTTTGAATAAAAATGGCGCGTCTGCATGGTTGTTTTTCAAAAACAGTGAAGCAAGGTCCTGCGGATCACCAACCTCCTCTATATGTCTACCTTTTCCCACTCCAATTACAACTTTTTGATGCATTCCTCATTCATTATCTTTCAGTCGCAGATAATAAAAATCAGAAGGAGTCAATGTCTCATTCGAGACTGTATAGCTTTCAATCCTTCCTTAAAGTCACCATTTGCGAGATCGTAAAGGACCCTTACACGTAATATTTCTGGCTATGCTGTCGGCGCATCCATCGAAAAATCTCTTTACCGTCAAATAATTCCAAATGCCTTGTCTATTAAGTAGTTTATAAGCTTTCTTGAATCTTTAGTTGCACATATTTTGGTGATATGCTTAGTTCTCCTGTCTCTACTTAAAACGAGCCCCCAATATTTCGGGATAAGTAGCGGCATTCGTCTCACAGACTTGCATTAAGGCGTGTTTCTCAATGTTCTTACAATACAGCTATGTGATACGAACTCGCGATGCTGAAATATCGTGATGCAATGAGCATCTATGTGTCCTTTCTAAGCAAGCTGACTCAGTTTTCTGTCCTCGTATATTCATTTATTTTCTCATTGCGAATACACTTTGCTTAGCTTCCAGCATCTTTTTTTCTATAAATATCAAATAAATTCCCGGTGCTGGACTGCTTCTTCAACAGTATGCCCTGCCTGTCTTACACAAGCGCTTTTTTTAAAAAGTATGACTTGTTATTTTTCCACCACTGCCCAGTAAACGAGCTTCCCTCTTATTGGAGTGGCAAAAACCTTTTGGAGAAGAACTCTTCAAAATAAAATATACTTGTTAGTAAAACCTTTGTTGAGAATAGGATATTGAACGCTACATAATCCGCCTGGACAGCTAAATCCTTTAAAGTGAAGTGAACATCTGTCGTCTACCGGACTTACATCTCATCAATCGTCTGAAGCTAGTGAAAACAAAGTAAAGCACTCCAAACATGTAAAAAAGACAAATGGTTTTCCTGTGACCCACTTAGATACAATGTCAAAGATGTAGGGCGCTCAATGGCGAAGATGAAGATGATATTTAGTTGTCACACGTATATCCAACATCTTACGGTAAAAGAACAAAACCGGGCCCAAAAAACTACTCATTACAAGTTAATTTATCAAATGTTTCAAAATGAGCACAACATTTATCATGTCTTAAAAGCACATCCGCAAGGCGCGCGAAGTGATATATGATAGCGGGGCGACCCAGGCTCTGCTTTTCGAAATTTACTTCGATGAGAACGGGGCTTATTTCCAATCCGGCGAATAAGTTTAAAAGGTTGCCTGGAAAAGGTTTGTATCACTTCCACCCGTTGTAGCTTTTGTTGACGCAAGATAAAGATTGGAAATGATTCCATTTTGGGAACAGGAGATGATACGTCCTGGATAGAAAATTCAGCGTATCTGGGAACCGTTGAGTTTTTGAAATCAAAATAGAGCTTTAAGTCCGAGGAAGAAGGAGTATCGAATCTTTTTGCTAACTGACCTGACTAAATATTCTGTACCCAAGCTATTGAATGTTTGTTATGTTTTCTACTAAACAACTATCATAAATACCTGTAACAATCTTGATTCTATGTTTTAGGATCGACGCACGCTTGTTAAGATGGGAAGATGGCGTTTCATTCTCGTACAGCTCCTTGTCATCTCTGCGGGTGCGGTAGCTCAAGTGGTTGAGTTGGACAAAAGCGATGTTCCCGTTGATGTTGAAAGTGGAGTCCAACAAATTCACATAGCCCAGGGCATCGATCCCACAACTATGGTCATTTCGTGGTTGACGCCCAACTATACGGCCCCAGCTCCAGCCAGCCAAGTGCGATACGGCCTTGATCCGGACAATTTAGATTGGCTGATCACTAATCAAGATGCTTTCACATACACCATACCGGCGGGATACGCCAAACAAGATCAAAAAAGTCCCTATCCGGATTATACAAGCGGCTGGTTGCACAACGTGGAGCTTCGCAATCTCCAGCCCAACACCTTGTATTATTATCAATGCGGTGATTTTAGTATCCTTCCGTCTAATGGCGACGACTATCCATACACGCCCCCCACCGGACGTTCAGGGACGTTGTTCTTCAAGACATTACCCGCAGTCGGGAAGAAGCTCAAAGAGCCTCTTGTATTCGGCATGGTGGCAGATATTGGACAAAATCCGGACGCGCAACGCTCGGTCTTACGCCTCTCCCAGAACGATCCTGCCCTGATTCTCATCGTTGGAGACGACGGCTATGCAGATTGTGTGGGTACTCTGTGGGATTCATTTCTTAATATGCTCACGGGCGTATCGTCTTTCGTATAAGTCTGCAGATGCTGCCGACCCCCTCACCCATTGGCTCATCACGCTTTCCTCCAAACCGATACACTTACACAGCCCTACCATGTTGGTGGCAGGGAATCACGAGGTTGAGTGGCTATCGAATGCAACCAGTCTCGAGACCCAAATTTTCATGTCGTTCGAGGCCCGTTTCCGCATGCCACAGATAGCACCGGGCGTCATAACAAGCGCCCCCTACCCGCCCACCCTGGACGCCAACAATAAATTATGTGCACCCAGCAAATATCAAGCGGGTTACGAATACGGAAACAGTTACTTCGTGTATGCCGCGGGCCCTGTGACGTTCTTGCATTTGAATCCTTACAGTTACACAAACACCACCTCCATCCAGTACCGATGGCTTCTCAGCACCTTGCAAGGCATCGACCGTAAGAAGACACCATGGGTGGTGGCCGTCTACCACAACCCCTGGTACAACTCCAATACGGAGAAACAGAACGAATTCGAGACGATTGACATGCAAGCAACCTTTGAACCCTTATTTTACGAGTACAAGGTCAATTTGGTCATGAATGGACACGTCCACGCCTATGAGCGCTCTTATCCTGTCTTCCAGTTCGTCCCCACCTCCGACGCCACCGCATACGTGATGGCGGGCACAGGTGCCGATTCGGTGCACGACAACACTTGGCTCCCTCAACCGATCTGGAGCGCCTACCGAAACGGTTCCCAGTGGGGCACGGGTAGCCTTACTGTCAAGGATGATGACACCATGACTTGGCAGTGGCACTGGAATTTGGACGGCATTTTGGTCTCGGCGGACGAGGTGACAATTTGCAACACTCACCTGGGCTACCCCACGTATTGTCAGGGCTACAAATATCAATGCGTCGCACGTCTGCGGGGAATCAATAAAGCAGGCTGGGGTACTGAGGCGGCCCAGCTTATGCTCAATTTGACAAGCGAAGCGGCTGGAACAGTCGCCAGTCAGATGAAAATCGACAGGCCTAACAGCAAAAATAATCGGACAATGTTGCGGAACGCTAATGGTGTCCTACGGGTAGATTTCGACGTCTTTGGGCTGACTACCGAAGAAGAAGGCTCAGCATCTGCTGCCGCAGTCGAGACCTACCTCTCTTCCACGAACTTCGTGACGGCTTTCGGCAACGGAGTGACAAGGGCCTCTGCCCGTTGCGGCAAGATCAAGCATGGTAAAATCAAATTCTAAGCATGTGTTTGCTTACATATTCATTACAGTACAATTACACGAGAGACAACGGGGCCGTCGAGGGCAATAGAAGCGACAAAGCCTGGGGCAAAATTCATTGCATTCCGACGGCGTCGAACTGGTGAATACCCGCACAAAATGTGCATGGTGACGCCTAAAATGTAACGAATCTCGACAAAAATTCAACAAAAGAGATAATGTGTAGTTCATATGCTCGCATCTGACAGCACAAAGTAGGTATTTTTAGGGAGAAGAAAGAAGGAGGCAGGGCCACTTCAAAGTAACGGTTTTTTGAAATGCGCTATCTCAATATATGCCAGCCTCATCCCAGCGCAAAATACCGGGAACCGGAGGAAGAAGGCGTCGGTAAATGGAACGATCGCGCAGGTGAAAAAGAAAGAAGGAAGTTAATTCGATTGCCGCCTATTGTCCTCGATGTTGATAGGGCTCGGATGTTATCATGCTCACTTATACCAAAAATCCGTTACGTTGCCAGATATGCTTCCTCGCTTCTATGACAATGATAAGGCGATGAGGGACGACAGTATCAAGAGTAATGAGCTTAATGATGAATTCAAGCAGCTTCTGCTGAAAATACGCCTTGAATCGGAATTGGTCAAATCTAAGGTCAGGGAGGCGGCGCGTGTTCGTGCGAATGTGAAGCGGGTAGAGGATCCTAGAGGTTTGAGGCCTGATTTACATGTCAAGGAGGGCTATCACCACCGGACACGTTCACAAAAAGCTTTCAGTAAGCGTCTTATATATTCTAAATCCTTCATGGGGAGTCCTGACCTCTTTCAGGAAGATTGTAATACGCCGGCTTCCCCCTTGAACAGTCGTGCCCAGGCACTGGCCACCTTTGTTCCAACCACAGTTGTAAGAGCAAAAAAGAGTACGACAGAAAGAGCCTCAGGATCAGGAGCAGCAGAGCAATTCATTCCCGAGAGGGTATCAGGACTTATTGTTTCCACTGCCAGCATGCCTCTTGTGGCTTCGATGGAGGGATTGAACAGTGGGAGACGGTCCGACCCTCACTCTAGGCCCTCCAAAGACTTTCTTCTCTCGTCTAGATATTCCCACACGCCGACAATCGACAGTCCTACCCATCTCCACCACAAGCAAGACCAGCGAGAGCGACAACATTATAAGGAACCACCGCAACACCAAGCCCAGCACCAGCCTCTCCGTCTTCACCGCCAGCACTCCCCCGTCAAAAAAGGACCCGGCTGCGAAAGTTCGCAATGGCAAGCTGCCTTGCAGGAGGAGCGAGGCTTGCGACTCGCAGCACAGGCACAGGTGGTCTCTGAGGCGCGCAAGACCCATGCACTCTCTCAACAGCTCCAAAGCCTGCGTCGGCGCTTGGATACGGCCGCATCGGAAGGAAGGAAGCAAGCGCAAGAAAAGGAGACCCTCCTGGGCCGGATGGCCGCCTTGCGGAACCTAAACCGTCAATTTGAAGCGACCGTTGAGCGCTTGAAACGGCAAGTGGCGGCCCAGGACAAAGCAAAAAAGCACGTCGAACATATGGAAGCGGCGCAGCATCGCAGTGTCGTGGTTTCCATGCAGCAATACGTGCGGGAAAAAGTTGGCGCCGCGGAAAGGGCAACGGCCCGCGAGCGAGAGAAGGTAGGAAGGCTCATGAGGCTAGTGGAGGAGGGGAAAATGGAGGCCACCAAGCTGAGGAGAATGATGGCAGTCATGGGGTTCGGTGGGCGGAGCGAAGGAGGGCCGGAAAAAAAGGGAGAGGCGAGAGAGGAGGAAATGGCCCCAGGCATGGAAGGAAGGGAGGGGACGGAACGGGCAACGAGGGACAGAAAGACGATGGAAAAAGGGGATACAAGCAAGGAGGAAATCAGAAGCGAGGACAAGAAGGAAGCTGAGGAGACGAGGAAGGAAGGAGCAGTGCCTTCCAATGACAGAGGATCGCCGCCCCCTGAGCCCCAAACAATGCCCGAGCCCACACCACCACATTACTGTCATATTTGGATGAACAACGTAGAATTTAAAGGAAAAGGTCTTACAGGATACGCAATAAAGTAGAAATTATGGGCGTACTCCCTGAGCACGAAATGTTATCCGGGCCCAGGCCGCACTAGTTCTCTTCCACTTGATTGAGGCGCTTACGTGCTGCTTGTCTTCGATGGATAGAGGACTCACGCCCAAATCCTCTTGACAGGGACAACATTGTCTACCTTTTGCCACATACACCCTTCCATGAATTTCTTGTGGGAATCAATTCGGCTGGGACTGATTCACCCACGCACAGGCCTGGGGAACGTACGTTTGGCTCTCTTGTAGCAGCATGAAGGACTACAAGACCTCATCATGAGTGTCAAAATTAGCGCGAAGTAATCAAGTGATTTCTATGTCCTTTTCATCCTCGTGCTGTGGCTAATGTTTAAAAAAAATGTTTTCATGGCGTCCTCGACTCTTGTGCTCCTTGAATATCCCCCTCGATCCTTCCGCTCCTCTTATTAACAAATTTACAGCTACCACAGGACGCATTGCCTACCATGCTATTGTAGAATGGCATACATTCCGTAGTAACCAAGTTTAACCCGCCGAAGGTACCCGTGCGTGGTTTGTCCATTCACCGCCTTAAGCTTCAGGACCTCACGTCTTCCGTTCTACAGATTTAACCTCCTCCCTTTGTCGCACGGACAAACAACACCTTTTCCGTCCAAAGGCATGAAGCCGGGGTCGACACTACTACCTGCTAGCTATAAGGTCTGAGGGTCCTACTTTACGTCTGCAAAGACGAGAAGAAGAGGGGGGAAAGGCCACAAAACGTTCGCAGGACGTTAAGATCGTTGTGGACTGGAACTGTGAGCGTCTCCAGCCTGACCACGCCCTCCCTCCCCAAATATACTCCTTGATAATTTCTGATCTTGTCACCGTCCACATCGACTTAGCCTGAGCCGTGCAACGTTGTTCGCAGTACATTCACATGGTTGTCTCGGTCTCCCAAGCCCTCCACCATGCCGCGTCGAGTAATCCTTCCGGGGTCGCAGCCCTCACTTATCGAGGGCCGAGCCAGGCGTGCACCAAGACAAGCTACAATGAATTCCTAGCACGGACGCTCCACGTCGTACAGGCCCTGTCCATCGCCTTTGGGCCCCACCTTGTCGCGCAGGCCCGTGTGGCGTTTTTGTGTCGGAATCACGAGCTTTTGCTCATTTATTTGTATGCTGTCTCGGAATTGCAGCTCATTGCTGCCCCGCTGAACACGCGCTGGGGCGTGGAGGAGATTTCCGCCGCCCTGAGGGATTGTGATCCCGCGATGGTGGTCTGTGACGCGGATTTGTGGCCGCTTTTGCGCCCAAGTCTGGGGCCCGAATCGGAGAGGGAGCGGGACACTGATGGATTGGGAAAGAAGTGGGAACGCGAGGGAAAAGGAAGAAGCTTCGACCGAGAGGATGAGGGAAGGGACCCTCAGAAACAGCCATCGATGATGGGTTTCATCCGGGGTGTCGTGTTGCTGCACGCCCGCGACGGGGGGGAGGTTGAGGCGGGAGTCGCGGGTGAGGGATGTGGAAGCTGTGGACGGAGAGAGCCCTTCTCTCTCCCCTCCCGCTCCATCCGCTCCATCAGCCACGAGGCCCTTCTTGCCCTCACCACCGCCCCCTCCTCCTCCTCCTCCCCGTCCCCCTCCCCCTCTGGCCCTGCCCTTCCCGCCGAGGTGCATTGCCTCATCTACACGTCGGGGAGCACGGGCACCCCCAAAGGGGTCATGCTCAGCCACGCGGCGCAACT